TTTTAACTAAAACACCAACCATTTCTATCTTTAAAAACTAACGGTAAAAAAAAAAAAAAGAATTTGACTTTTTTGAAAATTTGTGATATTATTGAAACTTTTGAAAGTTGATAACAAAATACAAAATTTAAGGATATTTTTATTAATTTAGCCTCGAATCAAATAAAATTGAAATAATAGTAATTAAATTCAAGATTTTCATTTAAGTNAAATTCAACGGTAAAAAACAAAAAAAAAAAAAAAAAAAAAAAAAAAAAAAAGCATCCATTCAAATAGAAACTTACATGTATAAAAATATATCAATGTTGAAGAGAAAATGCATTCATCATACAGCTCCCACCAAGCCATAGAAAACGCGAGCCTAAAGGCTAATAAAGGCATACGGCTAAAGCTTTCCCTGAGGTACAAATTAATTGGTGCACTTGAATCCATGACAAATGGAAACCCAAATTATGAGCACAAGAGCTAACAATATCCCAAGAACAACTAGCTTTATCTTCATGTTCTGATACCACATCTTCCTTCTCAGTTTGGTTCCTTGTCCTCTGTAAGTTTGCGCCTGTCGATATTCACAAAAGATTGATCATTCTCGAGTCGCTTGTTTCTACTGACGTAGTAACTTCTTTAGAATGGCAGGGTTCGATCAACTTACCTGATCTCGAAGATTCTCCGTTTTGTCAGCTAGAGTATTGATGTTGTCACCTCTCTCAAAAGCCTGAAAGGATATTAAAAGATTACATAATGATGTGTTGAGCGAGAATGAAGTGAGAATCTCGATTTCGTGGAAAAGACAATGAGGAGGCGTAGATGTTCAAGGTGTAAATGATTAGTTTGTGTCGGGTTTTAGCATAAGTCGATCTTGAGCTGACTTTCAGCTTGCAAGAACTAGCAAAAAGGAACTACCCTGAAATGTAAACTGACTACCCAACTCACACCACCAAAACCGCCAAACCGAAGCTAATTGAAGAAGTTTTTGCGTTTTCATGTAGTTTGAAGCCAACTTCCACCGACAAAAAACACTCAAACCGTTCGGTTTTGTTTGATTCATTAACTTACACCCCAAGGTGATGCTCTAAAATCGTGTTCGATTCATAGATCATCCACCACAAAAAGAATCTCTAAGAAGCACATTCAGTTTCACATACACATCATCTAGTTCTTACGAGGTTATTGTAATGACCCAAGTCTACCACTAGCCGATATTGTCCTCTTTGAGCTTTCCTTTCCAAGATTCCCCTCAAATTTTTTAAAACGCCTCTGCTAGGGAGAGGTTTCCACACCATTATAAAGAATGTTTTTATTCTCCTCCCCAACCGATGTGAGATCTTCACAATCCACACCATTCGAGGCCTAGTGTCCTCACTGGCACACCGTTTGGTGTCTGACTCCGATACCATTTGTAACAGTCCAAACCCACCGCCAGCAGATATTGTCCTCTTTGGACTTTCCTTTCGGGCTTCCCAATTATCTTAAAGTAACTCGATTTTAACCAAGCCAACTCGTGATGATTATCTTTATTCCAAAGATTTTAAAACACGAGATGAAATGAAAACTTAAACGCCAAATCCATGTTGATATATGTTGTTTACCTTGTCGAGATTCTCCAACATTATACTCTTAACTTCAGATACTTGAGCCTTCACTTTTATCAACTTTTCGATCTCTTCGGCATGTTCGATGATATACTTCATGTGCTCTTTCATAACTGGTCTGCAAAAAATCCATGGAACTATGCTTCTTCATACAGCTAAGGCAGATATACAAATGCATATTCGAGATAACGTTTTACATGACTAAACGAACATACCCGAAATCCTTATTAAGACTTTTCGCAACAGCAGTATCGGCTTTACCGCCCCCATATCGTTTCTTAAAGTCAGTTTTCATCCGTTCCAAAAACGATAAGGATATCTGCTTACTGAGAGATTCTTTCGCCACAACACAATAAGCTGCAAGACTCCATGAAGGCACCATGTATACAATATTAAAGCAAAAATTCTTACAACCAAAAGTTTAAGCTACCAAATAGACTAATTCAAAACGCCTTGGAAAAGAATGAAGAAACAAAATCTCCACAAATTTGAACTCAGAAACTTCACATTTTGATGCCGTATTTGAAGCTATTCTTAACAAACATTTTACAAGCATTTCCACATTGAGTAGCTGGATTTAGCTATCTCAGAACCGTTTGATTGCATGATCGTTTTTCAATTATTGCCAAATTTTGAGAAACTTAAAATGAAATTTCCGTTCAGACGATGAACAAAGTTCAAACGAGCTTTACCTAAACTAAAAATCCACAATCAATCAGAACGAACACAAAGAAACTCTTCCAAATTCCTTCATGAATTTGAGCAAATTAACAGCAAAAAAATTGGCGTAATAAAAGAAATCCAGCATTAATCAGACTAGATCCAACAAATTTCATCTGCAATTCAACTCCCCGCTCAGTTCCTTGCCGAAAAGATCGAAAAGGAAGTAAATCAAAACTACGAGAAGATTCAAAGCATTCTTACCATAACCATCTTCGACGAGGAAATTAAAGGTATGATGGTCGCAATTGTAAGTGAACTTATTGTTCGCAGAAGGAAGCTTCTGAAGGCACTGATTCGCAATCGCCGGAAAATTTCCGGTGAACTCGGTAAACTCGGCTAAGATCATGGTTCCTCGAGCTACGAAGCTGTAAATGAACGAGTCTTGACTCATCTTCTTCGAAGCGAATGAGTGAGCCAACTCGGACGAAGAAGAAACAGAGGAAAAATCGCCGTTGGGGAACTCGAATGAACTTGCGTTTGGGAAATGAATAAAAAGGTAGTGTTTGGCTTTGATTAGTTTCCTTTTTTACGAAGAAAAGGGAAATTCTTATGTCTTTCTCACTTTCATTATTCTTATTAGCTCAAAGATTTAGGGGAAGCGTCAATTAATTAAAGATTTGGTCCTAAGTTTGCGTAATCCTGTCGTGTTTAAAGTAAATAAATCATACTTAGGGCTATTTTTAGGACGAAATACACTTTTAATTACTTAAATACACATTTTAGTCTTAGTTTCCTTTAATTGTTCAATGTTTTTTTATTATTATTAATTTAATAAAAAGAAAATTTCTATGACAAAAATAATAATAATAATAAAAATAATTTAGGAAGACCTAAACTTCTCAGAATGGTAAATAAAATGTATTAATTTTAACATATACCCATTTTACCCTTCAAATTTCGACGGGTACAACAATTCAGGCCTTGTTCATTGAGAGAAAAAATATTTTTATTCACATTATTTACATGAATTCTTAATTTTTTTTTTTTTTTTTTT